AGCATCGAAATCGTGATTTCAAATAAATACCGCTGGTCAATAGATATTTAACTTGTTTTACATTGTTTTCTTTCTTAACAAATTTTGAACAGTTTTGGATCGTTTCTAAGGCGAAAATCACAATAAGTATCTCTGTCATATTTATCTATACCACTGAGTTATGTGATATGCATGTGCATGATGTTTGTGATCTGTAAAAAAAACTCCTTTAGCTTGACTACGATTTGACTGTATTTAGCATGATTCAATTTTCGATCGATCATTTTTGCTGCATGTTAAACGAGAGAATTTGAAAAGACCGCCATTTCTTCCATAGATAATTAAAACAAAAGATTCGATTCAAACAAATTCAATTGAGGCGAGAGTTCATGATGACAAATCCAGGAAGGAAAATACCAACACTACTTGAATATGTTCAGGAGGCTTTTTGTCAGTGCTGAGAACTCATCATGATTCTGTTTATCTACCAGTTATAAGCATATATATGTGGTTATCAGGCTTGACAGTTATTTGTTTTACTGTATTCCGACGTATTCTTCCTCACTTCCAATATAAAATTGATGGCTTAGGCCTCTTTGTGCATCTGAACGTATAAACGGATCACGTGAACAACTTATTAGTTATTGTGTAACTATAGAAGACAAAGATCCAGCCAACAGATCTTTTATTGAGAAAATCAACAGATATTTATAGATTTTTATCTACATTATTATTCGTTATTGTTAGCAGAGAGGTAATGTCTTCTGATTGGTTGTTTTCCTGCAGAAGGTCATTCTGTCATCTCTTTGTTGCTGTTTCTTAGACAGTCCGTTGATATATCTGCAAATTGTATCCACCCACGCTAAGTCTGCTGTGATTGGTTGTTGAGTTCCTCAAGGTTAGGCTTTGTTCTTGTTTTTTCTCATGACCCTGATTTGGGATGTGCACATTGACCTCAATTGTTGTTTGCAATTTTCTCTTGCAGACAGCTCTCACCACAATTTTATTTCAGTTTTAATTTTGCATATACACACTTTCCTGGATCTAAATCTACTCCCAGCCATGAGAAGGTAGTTGTCAGCTAATGCAATAAACTATAAGCTATCCAAATGATGTAATTTTCAATTATTCGTCAGTAGGAATTTCGACTGACTTCGTGGTGGATCCCGCCATGAATTTGGATAAAAAATACAGCAGTTGAGGGGTTCGTAGATTTTAGTAGTTATCTAAGTGATGTCATTTTGTGATGATATTAAACTATAGAAGACAAAATATTGGACTACATACATATGGTGTGTTATAAGTATATACCAAAACGTAGGAAGTGTCTCATCTTCCCCAGATAGTTTCTGATGATCTAATATAAAATGTCAACTTGTCTTCAGGCTTTATAGGCTGACAAAAGGAAGATAATTCCCACTCACAAATTGAGAGTAATCGAGCACAGTTTATGGTTGCGTATAGGAGAAAAAGCTTATTCGTTTCCCGAAAATAGTTGGAGCTTAACAAAAGAACATCTCTTTACGTCACTCACCTCCGAACACTTTCTGTCATAGATACCTTTCAGTCGACAACAGAGTCCGTGAAAACTCAAAAGAACTATAGAAATGAAACTCGGCATCTGGAGCTCTCACAATTATTACTATTCTTCTTATTTTCAACAGCACACCTCCTTTCCAACCTGTTCTCGGCAGTCCTTTATTGGCTGGTTTTCCGATTGCTTATAAGCGCTTATCTCCTCCTCATACAATCTCTTCTCAGAACATACATTTAGACTTTCAGCTGCAAGTCAGAATTAAGTCATCCATAAGACTGTTATCGATTCGTGATATTGTTCAGTCTCATAAACCTAAATCTTCAAAAGCAACCATGTAACGAATCCATCAGTTTTCTTAACATGAGAAAGACTGATTAAGCTACAGAGGTTAATTTCTTCAATTATCAGGCCAGGAAGTACAGTTTCAACCAGAAGCAGTCGCAACGGATGAGGATGTCAAAGCCAGGCAGAATCGGAAAAGTAGGATATGCCTTCCTCAACCTGAAACCAGTTTGGAAATCTCCTGCACTCCGCTTTAACGTAAAGAACAAGATTCGGATTCCGTTCAACACAAATATGAAGTCAGTCAGTTCTTCTTTACGGGTCAGATACTTGGCACGCATATGAGGAAAACCATTTCCAACAAGTTACAGACCTTTTGTCAACAGCTGCCGACTTCGCTGGCTGGCTCCATACTGAAGAGAGAATGGTCAACCAGACCGAAAGAGTTAGCAACAAGAAACTCTGGCTGGGAACATTCCAGCAAGCAAGAGCTGATTGCTCAACAAATATATAGGAGAATATTGAGATGGATTGAACGGGCATATGCCATTGAGGAGGCGGTCGAATGTCATCGCGCTCAATGTAGGCTATCACTAGAGTAGAATTCCAATGAGAAGCGACAAGTGGGTCGCTTATGTTAGGGTGACATGGAAGAGAACGAGTGAGTCGGAAGATGAGATGAGAGATTATGGGTAATCTTGGAGCCAGCTGAAGAGGACAGCGCCAAATAGAAGAAAATGGAGATGTGTTGCTGAAGCCGTATGTCGCACTTGATGATTAAGCAGCCATGCTGTAATGGTGAACAATTATTTCCTTTGTGATAACTAACCGGAATCCATTATCAGTGAAACACAAGTGAAACCAAATCGGTGATTATGCCTCATAGCAGTCAAACTACTACCCATGAAATCAATAGTTATTTACACTAGTCAATATCAATAAATGAAAGGAGATGCTTATTTGAACTCGTGTAGAAAAGTACCAGTCTGCTATGTACTACTGACTAATATTAAGTAGGCAGGAACCACTTACCATCCAACCAACCAGTACTACTTTCTAACCAAATTGAAGTAACCTTAACATTAGAGAGATGCTTATCTTATATGAAACTGAATTCATCAGTGGTGTGGTTAGATAAAGCCAAGTGTGTTCAGTTAATTCCAGTCATTCCATAGTTCTGCTAAAAGCGCTGTATGCTTTCAAACACTACTTGGTGGATACGCTTTGGCTTTCAAACTACAAAGAGGGGGAATCCCATCGCGTAAGGAAGGAAACTTCTTAGTGGCACAGTCAATCATGCCTAAGTGCATCGGTGCCATTTCGTTTCTTCTTAATTCTTTGTTTGATAAATTTCATTAAGACGAACTCCTTTTTGTATTTCATATGCTTTCCATCAGCTGTGTACAACCTGAATAATAAACTAGGTAAGGAGGAAAGGCATAAATTTAATTATTACTGTTATTTTGACAAAAACTTCGTTAATTTCATTCTATCCTGGAAAAGTTGTCCTCATTACCTTGGTCAAGTTTATGAAGGGGATCAGTTACATGAGCTTTACTGAAACAACAATTCCCTATCGTGTCCTTTGAGTCACTGAATAATGTAAGGCATTCAGTTACAGCACAACGTCGGCTGAAATCAGAGATAGTGTAAATTTTGTCAGGAAACAAGATCATTTAGTAACTGATTGAAACTAGACTGTCCTGGAAACTTTCTTTGTCCTAGGCTGGGACTCGCCAGCAGGAATCGAAACCAGAACTTTCAAGTTATGAGGCCAGCCCATTCACTACACAGTCACTAGCTTGGAATTCAATAACTAGTGTATTCTGACTTCTTTCAGTTCGGGATTTAGCACTACTGCCAACCCGTGCTGCCAGTGAGCATCCGATTAACCCTAACATGGGATATTTGACCTCAGCAAGGATAAGTGAAACGATAATAAGACAGTTTCATCTTCTAGCTTGTCAGCTAACGAGATTATGGTTTGTAAGCAAAATAGGGTATTGCCAGCCAGATGAAGCTACCTGAAAGAGGGTGTCTGATTGACTGACCAATTTTCAACACAGAACTTTGTACTGAAGTGCAGCAGCCAAAGTTGCCACACAAAGACAGAAAAAAAGGGAGAGGAAAAGAGTCCAAAACAATTCATACAAGCAGAAATATGAGAAAGAACAAAATGAATGCATCTGCACCACTCAGAACTCTTCTGAACCATACCACCAATAGTTTCCAACCATTAGTTCTAAGTATCTTGACAACTCCTCCCAACCTAATCCTATGTCAGCTAACATCTCTCGTTGAAGATCACGATGGCTAGGTACATGCAACATATTTCTCAGCGCTCTCAATCAATGTTGCCTGAAAACCCCACTGAATGACCTACCCTTTCTTGCGTAACATTCTATGCCTAATCTAAAACTACTGACCATGGTATACGACTCATCAGGAGACAGAGAAAGCGTGAGATTTTTGAACAACTTCTTGGGATACTAATGTAACTGGAGATCAGGTAAAGAAGAGGATCTCAGTTGTTTCAAACAAACGCTATACCGATAACTTACTGACTATTGATGTAAGTTCCCCCTTTAACTATAAAATTTCCATTCACACTCTAGTTCTTATATCGCTCAAGATTTTATCACCAACTAAACATATACACGCAAACACACACTATTAAAATACTGATCTCAATAAACCAAGATTTATTTCTGTGATGATTATTATTATTGTTCCCTTGGGTTCCTAGTGGAACACAGGGCTTCAACTATGCATCTCCACTTGCTTCTGTCTTCTGCTGTATTTTTCACCTGCATCCATGTTAGTCCATATTGTTTCAACTCCTCTTCACACACCAAACATAAATCATCCGCGATATCCAGGTCTTCTAGGTTCTTCACGTCAGTCCAGCATATCCCTGTCTTCTCGTTTCCCACTGTCTGACGCATAATCCAATCCACCACAATTAGGAATATCATTAGTGATAAGAAGCACCCTTGTCTGACTCCTGTGTTTACTCCAAACGCCCCGCTGAGTTTTCCGTTGTGCCTCACTTGAAATGTCTGTGAGGATTACATAAAGAAAATTATCTCGCTTCATTATGTAATCGCCATATGTGGATAAAAGTTTTGCAACTCTTTTCTATTAAGAAAATCTGACTAACAATATTATTCTTCTGTTTGTTTATTTGTATTTTGTCTACAAGTTCAACCACATAGGACTGCGAGTCAAACAAACATCAGTGGACCTGCATCTGTCAGTAAAACAGCCTGGCTATCAGGTGAGCATAACAATATTTAGAAAATTTATTACATAATAACAATAATAAATAAATTTTGAAAAAAGTTATTTTGGTTACAGGATTGCATCATGAGCTGACATCGGTCAGAAAACCATTTGAAAGCCAGTAGAGAGTACTGAAGAGTTGTTTTATCAGCCTAGTTTGGGACTATTCATCTGTACGCACCCACCACCAGGGTTCGAACCCAGGAACTTCTGGTTACAAGGCTAGCGAGCTTGTAGACCGTTTAGCTACTGGGACCAGATCCAGTGACCAGACCATGACTTTCAGTTTCTGCCAATTCACGAGACAGCACGACTGGCACTAGCAAATGTTATCGCTGGCGAGTATTTGTCTTTAAATCCGACCTACTGTAGCCCACTGCTCACGACTTACCACTAGAACCCCAGGTAGCTACCTACCTGAACAGGGCCCGTCGCTAGTCAGCATTTCAATGATATTCAGGTATTGCTTTGTAGAGATTTGATTGATGCTTACAAAGCAATACTTAAAAAGTTATTTTCACAGAAAGTACCCATCCAAACATGAATATACGAACATAAGTTCAGCGAAAAGTCTCTTCTCTGCGGCGAATTCACTCACTTGGCTGTACAATTGCATTTATATATAATTATTTTGTGTGTGTGTGTGTACACTAGGATTGTCAATCAAAGGTCAAAATTAGTTAGGGTTATCGTTGACGTCACCAAAATGCTTCAAAAATATGATGAATAATCAAATTGTAGGTGGGGCGGAGGGTGAAGACTAGTAAGTCTAGACTAGGGTTGTGCAATATGGAAGACACTCAGAAAAAGAGGATGTCAATGAAAGAGCATGGAGACAAGTGTTCAAAATAAATTATGTAATAGGTAAAAAGAGTAAACAAAGGGTGTGTTAAGTAAAAGATGTTTCTAAGAAGTCATACAAGCACTCAGAAAAGCCTTATTAACAAAGCAGTAGAACTTGGAATTATACCCAAGGTAGAAGGAGGGGATGGAGGAGTCTTTTTCTGTGTATATAAATCAGGCTTTTCCATCCAGTTCTCTAAGGCCTCTGCAGCACAAAGTATACGGAAGCTTGCTGTTTTCGGGAGGCTTTCTTTGACTTTGTAGATGACTTTGAATGAATTCTCCCTCACATACTGAGTACCCAATGTTGAATATATGTTCGATTACAGCACTCCTTATTGATTCACTGTTAACTTTTCGTAGTCAAGAGGGATAGTGTTCTTTGACTCCTTTAGATGAAACATGCATTGAACGACCTGTATATATCTCACTTTCACATGAGCAAGTAAATTGGTAGATACACATGGAAGTGGACAAATGCAAAAGTTTATCTTCAGAGTTCTTATGGAACAATGAGCAGCATGGGAATACCAGTTGACATGTAGCAGCAAAGAATGTTGTTTTCATTGTGTTAGATATTCTTCTCTTCGGGATATCAGCCAGAAGGTCACCTTTGAAAGCCACATTTATATCATTTTGTTATTATTGTGGCCCAATGGGCCTAGTAGAAATCGTCCTGAGCATCTGTGGTGCAGCGGTAGAATGCGTCCCAGCTGACATACTCCTAAATCATGTTTAGCTGACAGTTAATCCGGTGAAGACGTGAAACGAGTCACTTCATCCCGTAAAAAACATTTCATCTGAAACTGGAAAGCTCGAGCTTAAAGCCTTACATTTCGCTGTCAACAGAAAGCAATGAAACAGAAAAATTTGATGGCACGAAGTTCCTTAAGTGTATGCGTTTAGCGGAAATCTCCACTTTTTTGTGTTTTAGCCTGTTTATTAATCTTAACCTAGAAATGAAAAGTGCTGCACGGGAATACCCTTTGAATAAAATGCAAGCATAATACACCGATTCTCCGGTAATTATTGAAGTATCGCTTAAAACAGCAGCTAATGGGTGGGATTCTCAGTAGGGGAACACCATAGCATCCAGATTTATATGTATGAGTGTGGAAATTGAACAGGGAATCAATACAACGGGATACACACCTCTAATTGATTGATCTGATAAGTGAGAGGTCAATTCTCATCAATTAATAGTATTTGCCAGCCAGATTAGCATAATCTATATACTAGGATGACATTGTGCTTATTTAACACCTGATTTGTCAAAAGTGTACCCGGGTTTAATTGATGAAGGCTTTCAGAAATGGATCACTCCTGGTACACCCGTAAATAAAAAAATTCCTAAGCAATCACGGTGGCTATCTGTTATGATAAATCGCTTAGATTTAACTAGTGAGAACTGCTAGATGAGGTGAGTGGTATTTAGCTAGCTAACGAATCAACCAGTAGTGCGGATATGATTACATATTTACGATGTCACCTAGATCACATATCACGATTTAAATGAATAAGGTTTCCAAGGGTAACTGTGATGAAATTCCACTCTAAACTGCTCACCATTCAGATAACACATACTCTTCTAAATTTTAAGTTTCACAAGTAATTTCACTTCGTACATTATCTTCATGGATATAAATATCACTCATGAATAATCCCCAACCAGACATTCATGAAAACAAAACATCGCAGTTCAACGAAGAGTCTCTTCTCGCCGGCGAATTCATTCAAACTTAGCTGTACAATCGTCATTACATATACTTATTTGTGTATGTAGGTGTGTACATTAGGTTTATCCGATAAGAATAAAAAGAAGTCAGGGTTATTGTTATCAAGACATTTCCTAAATGTGATGAATAACCAGATTGTAACTAGGGCTGGGTGGGGGTGAAGATTGGTAAGAGGGTAGTGGTGATGTGCTGTCCAAAAATACCACATAGTTATTAATGTTAATCAACACATAAAACAAGTTGAATAAGCTTAATACAGTTACGTAATAAGATGAATAGTTTAATGAGTGAGTTTTGGTTAGGGTACAGAAAGAAACAAAGGAAAATATAGAATTATGTAGGCGTTTGACCACGGATTGTTACCACTTAAAGAACCAATGAAAACTAGCTGGGAGTACTGGACAGCTGTTTCGTCATCCTAGTTTGGCAATCATCGGCAGTACGCACCCGCTGTAGCGGTTCTAACCCAGGACCTTCCGGTTACAAGGCAAGCTGGCTCGTATACCATTGAGGCACCGGGACTCAATTCAATGGCCCATGAATTCTACTTTCTACCAATTTATGGGCCATTGAATCGGGTCCCAGTGGCTGAATGGTTTATGAGCCAGCTTGCCTTGTAACCGGAAGGTCCTGGGTTAGAACCGCTACAGCGGGTGCGTACTGCCGATGATTGCCAAACTAGGATGACGAAACAGCTGTCCAGTACTCCCAGCTAGTTTTCAATGGTTCTTTAAGTGGTAACAATCCGTGGTCAAACTCGTAAAGACAAATGAAATCCTTACAAACCAGCTCGTGAAAATTATGTAGGAGTTCTAAAAATTACAAATGTTATGAGGAGTTAGAAAAAACAAAATTAAAAAACACATAAACATCAAGTCAATAGAAGTCAACACAGTTGTTACCATGATAGTAGAAGTGGTTAGATGATTTTCGTTTGCATACACAACTCTAGTTTTCCAACTGAATGACTAAGGCTTCAGCAATGCAAAGGAAATGAAAGCGTGTATTGCCTTTGGTAGATTATCCTTCATTTTGTAGATCACTTTGAAGGCGGAGGCGTTTGTTGAGATGGAATGACCAGTGTTGGTTGACAAGGTGTTCAATTATCTCACTCCTTATATAGCCACTGTCATCTTTTTACGGTTATATGGGATAATTTTCTCGAACCCTTCGGACATGATACACGTCGAACGAGCAGTGTACCTGGCTAGCTCCACAGCAACAAGTGAACTGATGTATGCACACAGAAGTGGCCACAGAATTGCCCCCACCCTAGTTACAATTTGATTATTCATCACATTTTTGAAATGTCTTGATAACAATAACCCTGACTTATTTTTATTCTTATCGGACAAACCTAATGTGCACACACACATGCAAAAATAAGTATATAAAATTGCGATCGTACAGCTAAGTGTGAGTGAATTCACCGGCGAAAGAGACTCTCCATTGAACTACGTGTTTTATTTTCATAAGTAACATTGTAAAACTGAGACCCATTTAATTAAGCCTGCATTGAATAAAGCCCTTAAGTCTGATCTGTGTTCCATAAATGTATCTTTACTAAGCGGAATCCACACAGTGACCGAGTTTAACTAGAATCTCTCGGTAAATTGAAACCAGAGAAGTTGGCGTCTACATTATTTTCAAACAGAGAGTGATATTATTTGGAATATTCTCATACAGCGTTGTTCTTTGTGGAAGACAGTGGCCTCGCTTATGCAATCATCTCAATCCCTGGATCCCCACGGCTTCACCAATTGATTCTGTACCCTTGCTTGACAATAAGCAGTTAACCTCATTATTTCATAACAGATTAAGCCGCCTGATACGACAGAATCAACAAAGGCACGTACGGTCATGTCCTATGGTTAGAATGTAGGATGGAGCGAACCACAGCGCACTAAAGAGATTCTTTGATGGAAAGCTACATAAAATGCGTGTGTCAAAGATACCATACGTCGGTAATTATCAAACGAGCTTCTTATATCCATGCAGAGATGTCGCCACCAATCGGTCTATTAGGTTCGATCACATTCGACAATTTCACACTTAGACTAAGAATCAGTGCAGAGCATTTCGATAGCATCATCTTACATTCGGGTTGGGGTGAGTGGTATGTCATGCATACACCGCTTTTGTCGCATTTTATCAGCCTCCCCATCTGAAACTTAGTAAGACAAGCAAGTTGATACAGGTTATTTATTATTTCCATAGTAATACGCTTCTTGTCCAACAGTTTAATTACTACAAACACCGGAGAATGTTGGAGACATACCAGTCACTATGCTAATCAGTTTACCTAGCCAACATTCTCAAAATGTTACAAATCTATGGCTGATGACCCTTGATGACCTAACTCAAAATCACAAAATCGATAAATATCCTCTTGATGATTTTGAGTACTGTAAACGTCTTCAGTAGATTATGTTTATTAGCTGTTCCTCTCTCACACACACGCACAAAACATTTTCGTTGCTTTATCATTACGTCATTTAGTGAGTAGTGATCAGTAGTTGGATCCAGAGTGTGCTTCTCATCCTCTCTTGGACTCACCGGTTGAATATACCCACATTGCTGAGTGAATGATGGTGATCCAACTGAGTCCTGAACCCGATAGCCATGGTTTCTAACTCCAAAGGGTCATCTACTAGGTCTCTTATGATCGCCTTATGCGGATAACACTTTTGGTGTTTGAAACGATCACCCACTAGGAATGCTGGGCACATCCAGATGACGAGTCCCAAGTAGGACGAAGCTCACATCCTGGTATGCATTACTGTCCACTATCCATTAAATAACATCATGGTAATCCTTAGACATAGCTGAAGCATCCTTCCAATCGAATCAGTCAGCCAGGAGATACAAAATTAACTTCAACATGTGGTATCATCCAGTTTCCGGTTCCTTGCATCTGTTTTGTGTGTAAGTCTATGACACTTACAAGGGTACATACAGCTTGAATTGATGAACTGTGTCAAGGTTGACACTCTTCAGTCAATCTTTTATGCATCAATGAAGTGCAGTACAGACAGACAGACGGACAGAAACAGAGAGGTACTGGTCACTGAACAATTAAAATCACACAACTAGGGAATATTCGTGACATGTTGTGTTTCGAAATATATCCATAATAAACAATATTGAGCATTGAAAACTTCTTATTTTGTTATTTTGTATTTTATTCTTATACAATTCAGAGACAAATTTACGAAATAGTTCAATGTGTAAACAACCACCAATGTATTCAACATATTCTGCACACAAAGAAAATCTACGCCGGATGCAAGAACAAAGGAGAACAGCAGAAGACTGGGTAATTTCATAGGATTCATAAATTTTTTCTTTAAAATTAAATTGAAGTTCATATCAAAATATATTACACTGCTATTAATTCGGAAATGATTATGTGATGGACAGGAGATGACCTATTTGGGCAGGTAGCGTAATGATACGTAGACAGTAGGGTATGATTGCTCACTCACATTGCAGGCGGGCATTACGCTTCGTGATTCCAGTGAAATGATGAGTTAGATGTTAGCTGAAATTCGTAGTTGAGCAGATAGAGCGTTGAACTGGCAATGCATTATTGAAATATGATTTGAAATGGTTGCATAATCCAGTTTCCAGCTCAACACTCCTTAAACGCTTTATACAAAGAAATCACTTCATAAATAAAAAGATTTACCAAAAAGCAGTTTGGAAAACATTCTTCGCTGAATTTCTGCTTCTCACTTTCTCCTATCAACTGTGTATTCATCAAAATTTCAATGAGGATGTTTCACTGATGGCCACATCCATCTGTAAATATAAAATTCATTTTCATTTGTGGAGCTACAAATATGGGCTATACTAATGGGATATTGTTAAGACGTGCACAAGGACCTCCTCCAATACGGTTGTCGGAAAGATAGATTACACTAACCAATGCTTAATTTCTATCATTATTAGTATTGTTATTCTCCCCTTGGGTTCCGAGTGGAAAATACAGCTGTATCCACGATTGCCCATAGTCTCTCACCTCCTACTCTCACGATCTCCTCTATGTCACTCTAGCACCAACGACCCAATCATCGCTTTCCATTTGGGTCCCATTTGAGCGATGACCTGCATTGCAGGAGATGTCATTTGGCGGCGTCCTCAGTGGCGTATGTCCAATCAATCCATCTAATTTTTCTCCTACACATTTGTTGAGCAATCTGTTCTTGCTTGTTGGTTTGTTCCCAGCCAGGGTTTCTTGTTGCTAATTCTTTCTATCACGTTGGCCATTTGATCTTCAGTATGGAGCCAGCCAACGAAGTAGGCAGCTGTTGATAAACGTCTGTAACCTGTTGGAAATCCTCTTCGCGACAAGCGTTGCAAAATGACTGACTTCACATTTGTGTTGAACAGAATCCGAAACTTGTTCTTTATGTTGGCTGGCTGAGTGCAAAAGATTTTCAAAGTGGTTCCAGGTTGATGAAGGCGCATCTTGCCTTTCCAATTCTGGCTGGCTTTTACAACTTCATTAGAACAATGCTTCCTAGATAAGTGAAGAGAGTAACATCTGTCACATCTTTCCCATTGAAGGTGATTGGTACTGGTTGTTGTCACTGTTGGTTATTTGGTTATCTTCTCTATGTTTACCTGGGGTCCTGTCTGAGCTGCCTGACTCGCCTCTTCCACCGATTTGTTGGTTTTCACCACCAGCTCTTTGAGTTTGTGTGAGCAACATTAAACACAAATCATCCATGCATGAAGTCCAAATCTTCCAGGGTCTTCTTATAGGTCCTGTCTTCTCACTCCCTTGCACAGTCTGATGCATAATCCAGTCCGCCACAATTGGGAATATCGTCGGTGATAATAGGCAGTCGGCCTTATCTTTCTGCTGTATCCACTTCCAACGCAACAGTGGGTTTTTCATTGTGGGTCACCTGACACGACGTGGCATTGTCAGCTGTTGAATGAGACTGATAAAGACTTGGGCACTGCATGCTGTAGCGTTGAAGTGGTTTCCAAATTACCTATGCTTAATTTCGGAAACTATTATATATATATATATACATAACTTTGTGTCTAATATCTTTAGAAACGCTACCCTCAAAAGTGGTTAAAAAACCAATCTTCACTTGTAGTACACTTTATAATATTGAAGACCAGGGAAAATTTCAACTAACACATGGGTAACTTGTGATTCTTTAATAAGGTTAGGCAAAGAAAAGCTTGGGGAAATCAAAGCAACCCTTTTTGGATGCTTGTGCTTCGTTTCATGTTTGATCACGGATTGATGTCAGTCAGAGAATCATTGGAAAAGCAAGGAGTACTCTTTCGTTCTAGCTGGGGACTCTTCAACAGAGCACACCCACATGGGTCCGAACCGAAGTCCTTCCACATACAAGGCGAACTCGCAGATCGACCAACTCCAATAGTCAATGAGTTCCAGTTTCTACCAATTCATGGTTATAGGACAATAACCAATGAATGTTATCGGCGAGTGTTTTCCCTCACTCCCCACCGGGTATATCCCACAGGTCGTGAATTCTCACTTCTTGTGTTTTGGTTACAGGATTTCATCATGAGCTGACATTGGTTAGAGAACCGTTGGAAAACCTGGGAGTACTGGACAGCTGTTTCGTCCTAGTTTGGGACTGTTCAGCACTACCAGGTTTTCCAATGTTTCTTTAACAAGTGTCAGCTCATGATGAAATCCTGTAACCAATCAACCAAATCCCTACAAACCAATACTTGAATTCTTGTGTTTTATTTTATTTTTTAAAATTTTATTACACAAAGTTAGTGTTTTTTATAACACAACCTCTTGCTTTATTCCACTGTGATACGGTGATAAACGAATTCCTAGAATGAAGAGTTAAATTTAAGGCTCTGCAGAGCACTTTCTTCTATAACCATCCACTTATGTGTGTTTGTTTTACTTAACAATAAACAACCCCGGTGAATTATGAAATTCTCTTCTTTTCCTTCCCTCCCATCTTTCAATTCCTCTTAGCAGACATCAAATAGACAGTTGCATGATAGCCGATCAGTTGGTAGTCGTGCTGTCCTGGAGGAAATGGAGACAATAACACTACAACCGATTGGTCGAGGTGTACACGATCTTGAACCACCAGCTGGTTCAATAGCACGATCAGTTCGAGCTAATACTCCAACCGGTTAGCTTTAAATTATTATTTCTGCTTTTATTTCTATTCTGTCTAATGGATGTTTAATGTACATTTCAGTTTAAATTTGTAGCCATAGGCTTCATGCCAGACTTTGCATTTCAGGAATTACTTAATGGATATATATGCATAACAACACATAGACATACAGGTTACAGGTTTGGTTACGAGCTGATATCAGTTAGAGAACCACTGGAAAATCAGGGAGTATTGGACAGTCGTTTCGTCCTAGTTTGGGGCTCTTCATCAGTACCAACCACCGGAGTTTGGACAAGTGTTATTCGGGGTTACAAGACGAGGTCGTAGACCATTTAGCCACCAAAACCCGATCCAATGGCCCATGAACTCTGAGCTCTACTAATTCGCGATATTTAGTGCGACCGTTAACCAGTATCACAGGCAAGCAACCGATCTCTTGCCTAAATTGGTAGACCCCAGTAATTACGACTTCTCACACGAAGCTCCGGTTAACTTCCTGTATACAGCCAGTCACAGGTGAGCACTAGATTAATTGTCACTGAAAATAAAGGGAGCAATGGACAGCTGTTTCGTCCTAATTTGAGACTCTTCATCACAACGTATCTGTGGTAGACCGATAGGCTCCATCCACCCGATAGAAGTTAGAAACCATCGATTTACGGAGTATAACTCAGTATCTGAATTGAAGTGTGCTCCCGTAGTAACAGGAATAACCCAAATTCGACCCCTGGTGGTTCAGTGCGTGAAAATTGCTGAAGAGTCACAAACTGGGAGGAAACAGATGTCCATTGCTCTCCTGTTTAAAAGTGTTTCTCTAAATGATGCTGGTTCGTGATGTAGTCTACTTTCAAAGGGAAAATAAGTCGACGATACCTTTTTTTATGAGAACGGGTACCGATTTTAGTTAACTCACAAGTTAAAACTAATAAGTAAATCCCGTATAGACGTTTACTAACCATTATAAATCATGTAGCAGAGAACGTATTCGTGATTCGGCTTTTTCATTTTGACTGCGGTACTCATCTACCCCTCGAGATAAAGGCTGACATTTCCTATAGTGCTTGCATCCTGCTACTTCTTAGTATGGAGTGATCACAATCAAATGTTCTGGGTAAACAGTAATAATAATAATAATAATCTGCTTTATTCCCCCCGAAAAAATAGTCCTTATAATACAGCATGGAATTCTCAGTATTTGTGACAATATTTCATCGAATTGACTTAAAATATAAATAAAATTAGCCACAAGAATTTGTCCACATTTACAGTAGAAATAAAGTCAAAAATGTGTAAATTACGAAATGAGAATAATAAATATTAATAATAATAATAACAGTGGGTTTGTTTCAAACAATATATTCGATACAGTTTAGGAATTTTAGCATGTTATAGAGTATTGAATGTAATGTTTTTGACATAGCATAGGGAGGGGGAAAACAAAATAATAACAATTATTACAGAGCTTAAGTGATGTTTACACTTATAAGAAAATAAACAAAAAGCATGTGAGAGGATTATATATATAAGAAGAATAATAAAAGTAAGAAGGTTAGTTAGTTAGTTATTTCGTCCATGACACTATTTTCACCGTACGAAATACGTGCCAAATATGGTGTCGTGGAATTTTTATATTTAGACATGCACGCATACAGTCTTTTGAAATGACTTCTTGATCTACCTGAGGAGATGCAGCAAGGTGAAACCTGCGGGTACTGCTGTGGATGCTCACAGTCGGACAAAATCCCTTTCGCAAATTTGTTGCATGCAGTCAAGTGCCTATCAATGACGATGTCAACAATATGACCCAGTGGGATGCCACCACTCGCCCTACTGATTGACAGTCTTCAGAGTTCTACGAAGTATGACGTAGTTGGTCTTTTTTAAGCAACCTAGGAAAGAATAAGGGTGAACAATAAGGACGAATAGATTAGATGCAAGAGTTGATAAACTGTAAGAGGAGGGGTTGAGTTATACCCGAGTGCCTTAACTTCTTAATGTAAAAAGTCAGGTGGAATATTTTTTAGAAATTGCTAAGACGTGTCGGAAGACCAGGATAGATCAGAAGAAAGAATTAGTCCAAGATACTTAACGTCAGACTTGATTTCTATATCAGTATCATCAATTTCGCAACGGACATAGGAACCAACAGCTTCATTTAACTTTCTCTTACATCGGAAACTGAAATTAGCAGTCTGAAATTTGGAAGGATTTAGTTTAAGTCCATTAGACGAAGACTATTTCCTAACTCCTGAGAGAAGGCTGTTCATCTTAGTACAGTCTAGCTGGGAGTTAACAGATATTGAAATAGTTAGATCGTTGGCATACTTAACAAAGTTCATTTCATCAGAGTGAGGCAAGTCATGCAAGAAGAGAGAAAACAGAAAAGGAGAAAGAATGCACCCTTGAGAGACGCCAGCCAGCCTCAGTAAGCAATGAAGTGGACGACTTCCCCTTCCATACAGTGCACAGCTTTCTGTGCGTCTAAACACTTAATTTATCTGGTATCACAGGTTTCACAGTTCCTCTTCTTAATCTTTAGATATCTACCTTGAAGGTAAGCATTAATAAACTGCACACAAAATCTCTTTAAAATAATTCAGCCATCAAAGTTCATATTATGCCTAATTATTCCTTACACATCGAATTAATGAAATGGTTTCCATGTAAACTGTAAACATAAGCTGTAAATACTCCGAATAAAATATTAGTGATTATCGATCACTGTTATTTTAAGCTGATGAAAGGTCAAAAGTTTAAAAAAAATAGTAAACATGTAAATGATGTCCCCTCGAATCAGGCTTGAGCCGAATAGCCCAGCGGTAAAGTCTCCGACTGCAACACTGAATTATGTCGTTTCTAATAATCAGGACGGAGATCAGTCCCTTGCTTAAAAGTGCCTAGCTTTGGAGTCACCTGTCATCAATTCAAAATGTACTGCTACGTCAGGTCATCACCTAGTTTTATAAGCACATCACAAATTTGGCTGAGAGATTACACCGCTCCCAGCTAAAGGTTCTATTGGTTATGTAAACATCAGTGAGATAAGCAACATTTCCCAGTGTGATTAAAGCTAGCAGCCACTAGCTTTATGGCTTATTGTCATATATTAGTCGGCTTTATTCCAGCTTAGTCCTTCTTCCGTATGCATTAGACTTTATGATTAACAGTATATATGCACGCATAACACGTGCCATGGCTGCCCTAATAGGTCTTCAACTTGGGGACTAGACGCCTAACTTATACACTTAATACGTTGTTAAGTATACACATGCAAAACGACGAGGGAACACTGACGGCCGGACATATCTGAAGTCTCTACATATCCTATACTATTCATCACCAATGTGCACTATGATGAAGCGCACTACTATAGTCTTCTAGATAATTTAGTGGACGATCAAAAATGCCTCCTACATCATAACTGATATCACACTTATTATGGATTCACACCAATCGTCGTGGGGCTAAAAGCTTTTGATTTAGTCGGTATATACAATCCACAGTCTGTTTAAACATCCAATGCAATGAAACTGGATGTGAATCGGTCTACGCGTGTAAAAGTACTTTACTAAATGAGTGTTATTCTTAAAGATACCTTATTCTTTATGCACTTGACAACTTGAATGAACTTGATCAGTCAAGTTTGCTATGTGATCACCAGGCTAGGTGATTCGACATTACAGTGCAGTCTGAATTGCTTTTTATTAAATGATTGGTAGTACCAACTGGTAGGAAGTCATAAACTTAGGTTTCGTTCTTGCCGGCACTCTTTAACAAGGCATATCTGCAATCCAAAAGGAACTCATATTCCCTCTGAAAAACTGCACCAAACCATGGACTAGAAACATAACACTGATTACTGTCTATTTACCAGTTCATGTATCCACTGCAGTCCTATAGGGAGTTAGTTATGAGCCCATATAGCTCAACAGTAATGTCTCTGACTGCAGCACTGGATGACATGGGTTGGAATCTCAAAGGAGACACGAATTCCCTCAAGACTGCAGACACGTGTTGCTGAAAAGGGCCAACAAACACGAAACCTAGGGAGATTACCTTCAACTATCTAAAATGAAAGTCTGGAGAGTGGAAAGATTCGAACCTGCAGTCATACGATTGTTTACCGACCTATATATACTGTATAACTTCATTTTGTGAATGCGTTTTATTGTTACCCGTTTGACTTTCACTGAAAGTCTCGGGCCTAAGTCAACATCCCACCATATCTCTAGTTGAGGAATGAATAAGCAATCTCCTCTCTTTGACTCTCTAGACAGTATAAGCAACCAGGAACTCTGACGACAACAACATATAGTTCAACAAACGTGCAGAAAGACATACACTGAGGAGACTGTCAAGTGACATTACACGGTAGACAGGTCTTCGAGTGGAATCCAAAATAGAATTGGAGAGATGGGCATGGATTCGAGGATGACACAGAGGAGGAAACGAAAGTCTACGGGCAGAGAACTGTCTGCAGCGGAGATGTGTCGATGAAGCCCTGTGTTTCTCTTGGAACCCAAAAAGAAACTAACAAATCTCGTAGACAGCTAGGTTCCCATCTTAGCCACTAGTATACTACACATCCTTAACCTGTTTATGATCTCAAATATGAATCGTCTTATTGTGATCTGAAATGTTTTCCTTTCTGTGAAGAATGACTACGCTTCATTTAGGTTGTTTCTAATGAAAATCACTGACACACTTGCTTGAAATATGTTAAGACAGAAAGGCATAAATAAAACTACTGTCTTATTAAACATGTCTATGTAAAGAGACGCCTTTAAGTTCGATAGGCGACAGGCGTTGTTGTCATTGAGAAATCTTCCTGTGTAAGTGTGTGTGCGTGTGTATGTAAGTCTTATCAACTGTTAAACCCTCCACCTTTTGTTCATAGGTCGATCATCATCCTACATAGTGCCTATAAGCAGACCACATTCATCAGCGGCAAGAATTCATCCAGTCAGTGCAGAAAGAACAAAACAATCTAGCTATAAAGAATACTACAGTAG